GCTCCCTCCTCCCAGTTTTCCCCCTCCCCTCTCCCACCCTCTCTCTTCCCCTCTCCCACCTCCTTTTCCCAGTTTCCCCGAGTTTTGTTAAATAAAGAGAGTTTCTAGTTTTGACCACATGCTTCCCCCTTTCAGCTCCCTCCTCCCAGTTTTCCCCCTCCCCTCTCCCACCCTCTCTCTTCCCCTCTCCCACCTCCTTTTCCCAATTTCCCTGAGTTTCGTTAAATAAAGAGAGTTTCTAGTTTTGACCACACGTTATCTTTATTTTGTACATCAAGAAAAGGGGCTAGGGAAGGGTAAGTGGAAGGAGGTGAGGGAGGAATGGGGCACGAGCCCCGATGGGGAGGACTGGGCTGGCTCTGCGGGCTTCTGGGGGTGGAAGCTCTCCTGCAGAACCCCAATAGCCCCCTCTCCCCAGATGGCAGCCTGCAGCAAGTGCAGCCGGGCTGATGGCCGAGTGCTGTGATGTGCCCAGTGTGGGCCCTCCGGGCACTCCAAGCCAGGACTGCTTTGCAAGCGGGGCACCCCTGAGAACTGTGTGTCCGGGGTGGAGGTCGGAACCCTTTAAGCGCAGCCCTCGGCTAGCCTGAGACAGCATCTCCACGCTCTAAGTCCTCCTCTGATGCCCTGCCAGCACTGCTTCCGGCCATCCTTAAGCCCGGTTCAGGGTCCACTTAATGTGGACATGCTAGTTCGAATTAGCAAAACGCTAATTCGAACTAGTTTATTAGTCTGGATCCATTAGTTCGAATTAGCTTAGTTTGAATTAACTAATTCGAACTAAGTTAGTTCTAATTCACGTTGTAATGTAGACATACCCTTAGTTACACCGGCTCTATGGTCTTACCCGTTTAGATGTGTGCAGTGGCTCTTCCATGAGATACCTCTTCTCTGTGCTGATACTCATTCATCTATGTGTGGGGTCTCCCCTGTGTGTTACACTGGCACTGTGGTGTTACCCATTTGGCTGAGCACAGGGGCTCCCCTGCGTGTTACACGGGCTCTGTGCAAGCAGCTGGAGCAGCAGAGTCTGAGAGATGTGCAATGAACACACAATCAGCTAAAGGGCGAAGGAACCTAAAGTTTTATTGCAAATGCAGCCAGGTGCTCATATCCAGCTCCTCTGTCAGACACACGTGTGCCGGTTGCCATGGAGAGGCTCTCTCAAGGACGCGATTCTTCATTCGCCCCGTGGGCAGACAAGTGCATTCCCCTTACAGAACATTGTCCTACATAGGTACACACAAGACACACCTCACTCCTGCGGTGTCAGGGTGCCACCCTCTGAACTTACCTACCTGCATGGGGATTCAATCAAATCATCGCTCTCCCTCACATTGCCACGTCAGACCCTGTCCTGGCCCTGGGCTGCTCTGTCCCTGTTACCCGTGGGGCGTGTGTTGCTATCGAGCTGTCTCCTAACATGCTGCTCTGGTACCAGCCCTCTGCAGGGTGCTCCCGGCCTCTGCCTAGTGCCTGTGGGGTATGAGCGTTTCCGCAACACCAGCCCTGCTTAGCCACGTGCTGTGAGCAGGGCCTGCCTCTTCCTCCCAGCATCAACAAAGTCTTGAGCACTGTTCCCTATCTTACCAGCCTCACACCAGGCCTGTGGCTGACACTTCAGCCCTCATTCTTACTCCAGGGGCTGGCCCTAGGGACAAAGGTTTTGCCTATCCCCAGGCTACTGGGGGTAGATGAGTTGTACACAGACTGAGTCTTCACTTTCTTCTGCTGACACAGCCCAGGGAGGCCAGGAAGGAGGTTACTGGCACTTTCTCTGTCCAGTCAGTGACTCCGGGAGGAGGCCCCAGCCATGTGTCTCCAACCAGCCCTTCACTGAGCTGAGTCTCCGAACCAGAGCACCAGGAAACCCTTAGATCCCTTTTTGAGTAAAGAGGGAGAACAGCCTGGTCCGGATCCGTTTGGTCCTCACCCCGTAGATGATCGGGTTGAGCGTAGGTGACATCAAAAGACACAAGTTGGCAAAAAGAATGTGGAAGTGCAGGGGCAAAATCTGGCCAAGCCGGGCTATGAGTGTGATGAAAAGATTAGGGATGTAAAAGGCGAGGATGGCGCACAGGTGGGAGCTGCAGGTTCCAAATGTCTTGAGCCGGGCGTCCTTTGTGGGGAGTTTGAAGATGGCCCTGACGACGTGGATATAGGATATGGCGATAAATAACGCATCCAGACCTATCCCACACAATGTCACAGCGAGGGCGTAGTAGCTACTGACACGAATGTCGGCACAGGCCAGGCTCACCACGGCGATGTGCAGACAGTACGGCTGGGGGATGATGTTGGTTCTGCAATATGGCCACTGCCTGGCCAGTAAGGGGAGGGGTAACTCGAGCAGGCCACTGCGCAGCAGCACAGCCAGGCCGATCTTGGCCACCACGGGGTATGTCAGGATGGTGGAATGTCTGAGGGGATGGCAGATGGCCACGTAGCGATCCAACGCCATGGCCACAAAAATCCCAGATCCTACCAAAAAGAAGGAATTAATGAGGAACATCTGGGTGAGGCAGGCATTGAAATCGATCTCCCTGGCATTGAACCAGAAGATGCTCAGCATTTTGGGCAGGGCAGACGTAGTTAGGATGAGGTCGGAGATGCCCAGCATGCAGAGAAAATAGTACATGGGCTCATGGAGGCTCGACTCCCTCTTCACAATGATCAGGATGATGAAGTTCCCCAAGATTACTATGACATACATGGTGCAGTATGTACAAGGTGGTGAAACTCCCTGAGATTACTATGACATAGATGATGCAGAAGGGGATGGAGATCCAGCCGTGGGCCTCCTCTAGACCAGGGATGCCCAGCAGGATGAAGGTGGAGGGGTTGGTGAAGTGGGTTGTGTTGGAATGTGCCATGGAGCAGGGGAGAAAGTGTCCGACTCTCAGGCAGAACGGTGTCTCCCGCATGCACCACACAAGCCCCCGACTTCTTCTGTGCACCCAGGGTTGAAGATGACACTCGCAGGACACACGCCTGGAGGGAGAGAACGCACCACTGAAGGCTCTGCTCATGGGGGAAGCACGTCAGTCTCTGCACACTCTGAAAATGTCACTTTTGTTAGTCAGCGAAATTCCCTTTGTACAACTGGCCCTGCAGGGTCCGTCCCATGTCGGATGGTGCTCGCTGGACCAACTATCCCCACAGCTTCTGCTGTGGGAAACCTTGTAAGGCAGCAGAAAGAAACGTCAGCACAGACACTCGTTACCCGCCCTTGCTCTGTACCACAGTGAAACCCAGGCAGGAGAGTCCCTGCCTGATGCAGCTCCCTGTTTGCCTGGTGGCTCAGAGTCAGAAAACCAAAGACTTGTGCCTGGTGACAAACCCACGTAGGACGCCCCTGAGGGACAAGCCCCAGGGGGCATTGCCTGCAGATCAATGGAAACAGCTGCTGATTCACTGCCGTGGCCAAAACAAACACGACGTTCAGATGCCTGAAAGTGGGATGGAAATTGGCCTGCGAGGGGCATGTGCTCGGTGTGGGTCCCTCGGTCTCTCCAGGCAATGTGGCAGCAGACAGGCGTCTCTGGGAAGGGCAGAGCAGGGGGAAATAGGATTCCTGAGACCCGCTGTGGCAATGGGGCAGGCTGCCCTAGTGAGCCAGACTGAAAACTCTGGGACTGTTTGTTTTAGAGAAGAGACAAAAAAGGGGGCATGTGGGAGAGGAGAACCCAATCACAACCTGGTACTGACTGCTGCTAGGGTCCGTCTACACTGCACCGTTGTTCCTGAATAACAGTCATTGTTCTGGACAAACAATACCAGCGTCCTCACAGTGACTGAGGTATT